AAATCTCTCCACCTTTCAAATATTTATTATATTACTTACAATCATAATTCTTCATTGTTCGAATAGTTAAGTTAATTTCGATAGTTATACGAAATTTCTCGATATCTACACAGGACTATTCAATCAGTAGTTTGATGGGCCATTGTCACTTCAAAATGGGCGATACTGAAAAAGCAGTAGAATGTTGCGAATTTGCTCGTATGCTGTTTGACAGACCCAACGATCTGCATTTAGTGGAAGTTAGGTAATCGCAAGACTGGCTTAATTCTGGTCATATATCGACTGCTCAATTTATTCTAGAATAGTATGCTTTTCTAACAAATAAATGTAACTGATCATTAATTTTAAATAATATCAGATTGGGATTCCATTACAACAATGATGGCGAGTTCGATCGTGCAAGAAACATTTTTCTAACCACGTGCAGAACCTCACCAACCTCCTTAACCTGGCTGGGTGTCGGCATATCCTTTTATGAGGTAAACCAAAATAGTGTCGTTACACATGTATAATGCAGAGGGCGACAAAGTCGCGCGAGTCACCCTACATTTAATCAGCATTGTTATTATGTACTTTCGAATCCCTTTGTTACCTTTCTTCCGTTTATGAACACCCTGCGCATGTTATTCCAGCTAAACCAGTTTCTTGATGCCGAAGTATGTTTATCAGAGGCAAACAGAATCGACAATTGCAATCCGGAAATATGGGCTTACTTGTGCCTTTTAAATATGACGCTCAAGAGGTATGACGAATTTTCGCAGTGTTATGCCGAAATGATCAAAGTAAGTTTATTTATTGAAATAATATGCGTTTATAATATGTAAATAACAACAGGTGCATCGATTTTTGAGAAAATCAATTTATGATTGTTCGTCATTTTTCGGAAAATAGATGAATAAATACGGAATCAATTTAAAAACTAAACTTTAGATTGATATTTGTTCCTACATTTGAACTTAATTAATGTATCATATTAATAACAATTCCTATATATGTATTATCGCGAAGGAATATTGCAATTTAAACATGTATTTTTATTTTCATGAATTTTTTAACAGACTATTCTTATTACATACACTGGGAAAACAGACAATAAGGCTTTTCTAACTGTTTATTTTTTTCTTTTTTTCAATATTAGAATAACCTTAAAAATAGAAAACTGCTGCTGAGAATAACGAACCTGATGGAGGCTTTGGATTACACACCACCAAATTTAACAGAAACCAGCGAACTTATTGAGGAACATAGCACAGATGGATCTGAAGAACGATTCGAAAATTAAAATGGCATCTGAATGAAGCAGACAAACGCATGAACTTGTAAAAAAAGGATACAAAGCATAATGGCACTTATCTTTAATCAACGGAAATAATGTAATTGAGAATACAAAAATAAGAAACAAAATATGCAACTGAAAAGAAAAATTTTACACAAATTATGTGTTTCAAATTTAAACATAACTATGATTATTATCATTTTATAAATTTTCGGTTGTTACTCCGAATGGCCCCAGTGCCCAATCGTGATGAAACTTGGTGGGTTTTATAAGGGGTGTGAAAAGACCCTAAAAATAAAATTGTAGCTTCGGGAATTCACCTATTCGGAAGATACAGATTTTCATGTACATATAAGGCATTTTCTACGCTATTTTATATATTCTGAATCACCATCGAATTACTATGATATAGTTATGATCGATTTACATGCTTTAAATATTATAATTGCTATTCGCTTCGCGAAGCGTTTGGAAGCAACTGGCGTTAAAATTGTAATTCGGAGTGGCTAAAATGCCCGAGCG